GTAGAGTAGTAGTAGTAGTAGTAGTAGTAGTAGTAGTAGTGGTAGTAGTGGTAGTAGTGGTAGTAGTAGTAGTAGTAGTAGTAGTAGTAGTAGTAGTAGTAGTAGTAGTCGTAGTAGTCGTAGTAGTCGTAGTAGTCGTAGTAGTAGTCAGTTAGTAGTAGTAGTAGTAGTAGTAGGTAGTCGTAGGTAGTAGTAGTAGTAGTAGTCAGTAGTAGTAGTAGTAGTATAGTAGTAATAGTAGTAATGGTCGTAGTATTGTCTACGTAGTAGTGTAAGTTAACTTGTAGTTGTAGTAGTAAGTAGTAGTAGTAGTAGTAGTAGTAGTAGTATAGTAGTATTAGTATATAGTAGTAGTAGTAGTATAGTAGTAGTAGTAGTATTATTAAGTAGTAGTAGTAGCAGCAAGCGTAGTAGTAGTAGTAGGAGTAGTAAGTAGTAGTAGTAGTAGTGTAGTAGCAGTAGTATGGTAGTAGTGTAAGTGTGTAGTGGTAGTAGTAGTCGTAGTATAGTAGTAGTAGTAGTAGTAGTAGTAGTAGTAGTAGTCGTAGTAGTCGTAGTAGTAGTAGTAGTAGTCGTAGTAGTAGTAGTAGTAGTAGTAGTAGTAGTAGTAGTAGTAGTAGTAGTAGTAGTAGTGTAGTAGTGGTAGTAGTATTAGTAGTAGTAGTAGTAGTAGTAGTAGTAGTAGTAGTAGTAGTAGTAGTAGTAGTAGTAGTAGTAGTAGTAGTAGTAGTAGTAGTAGTAGTAGTAGTAGTAGTAGTAGTAGTAGTATAGTAGTAGTATAGTAGTAGTAGTAGTAGTAGTAGTAGTAGTAGTAGTAGTAGTAGTAGTAGTAGTAGTCGTAGTAGTCGTAGTAGTAGTAGTCGTAGTAGTAGTAGTCGTAGTCGTAGTAGTAAGTAGTAGTAGTAGTAGTAGTAGTAGTAGTAGTAGTAGTAGTAGTAGTAGTAGTAGTAGTAGTAGTAGTTGTCGTAGTAGTTGTCGTAGTAGTAGTAGTAGTAGTAGTAGTAGTAGTAGTAGTAGTAGTAGTAGTAGTAGTAGTAGTAGTAGTAGTAGTATTAGTAGTAGTATTAGTAGTAGTAGGAGTAGTAGTAGTAGTAGTAGTAGTAGTAGTAGTAGTAGTAGTAGTAGTAGTAGTAGTAGTAGGAGTAGTAGTAGTAGTAGTAGTAGTAGTAGTAGTAGTAGTAGTAGTAGTAGTAGTAGTAGTAGTAGTAGTAGTAGTAGTAGTAGTAGTAGTAGTAGTAGTAGTAGTAGTAGTAGTAGTAGTAGTAGTAGTAGTAGTAGTAGTAGTAGTAGTAGTAGTAGTAGTAGTAGTAGTAGTAGTAGTAGTAGTAGTAGTAGTAGTAGTAGTAGTAGTAGTAGTAGTAGTAGTAGTAGTAGTAGTAGTAGTAGTAGTAGTAGTAGTAGTAGTAGTAGTAGTAGTAGTAGGTAGTAGTAGTAGTAGTAGTAGTAGTAGTAGTAGTAGTAGTAGTAGTAGTAGTAGTAGTAGTAGTAGTAGTAGTAGTAGTAGTCGTGTAGTAGTAGTAGGAGTAGTAGTAGTTGATGTTGTTGTTGGTGGTGTTGTTGCTGTTGTTGTTGTTGTTGTTGTTGTTGTTGTTTGTCTTTTTGTTGATGATGTTGTTATTGCTGTTGTTGTTGGTTGTGGTGGTGTTGTTGTTGAGTTTCCATTTCAATGTAATATTTTTTGTTGATCCCCCCTCCGGTAATCATCGTATTTTTCAATCGTAGTGCTTCCCCCGTGGCTCGCACACGGTCTTTTACAAGGGAAAGTGAAGTGTCACCAATATGTGCCTCTGGTCCACGGTTTACGACAACAGTGGCTCCTGCTTGATATTTCCCCGCAATTTATCACCAAATCGCGCTCTCGCGCGGGACGTCCCTACAATTTACGATAATATCGCGCTCTCGCGTGGGATTCCTTGCAATTTATTCAGACGCCGCGCCCTCGATGCCCAGGAATCGCGCCCTCGCTTTGTTTTTTCGTGCGATTCGCAAGGAAATCGCGTTATCGCTCGAGACTTCTTCGCGATCCATGCAGTATTCACGCTTCAGCAACCCGCCTGCTCGACCTAGTCGCCTGAGCCCGTCTTCCCGACATGCCCGTTAGGGTCTACCCGCCCGATTTGCCTGTCTGGTTCTGCCATGTGTTTTCTGCTCCTAGTCCCCCTCCTGCTACTGTCTCTCGTGCTCCGTTTTCCCTTCACCTTGTCCCTTCCTTCCATCGGGCCTCTCTTCCCCTGCCTTAGAGGCTGCACGAAGTACACGTTGCAGATAAGAGAATAATGCCCTAAGGTGGTACGATCGAAGACAAAGAGGACGGGTATCGAGGGTTTGGGGTACCCGTATTGAATGGCACGCGAACAGATCAGAGCGATCAGTCTCAAATTTGTTGTCGATGTTGTTCTTTGTTGCTACTGCTGCTGTCGTTGTTGTTGTTCTTATTGTCTGTGATGCTGATGATGAGTAGGAGGAAGATGCGGTTGATGATGCTGACCATCATGGGCGT